GAAAATTAAGTTTTTGTATGAAAAAACATTTTGTTTTTCAAGATATCTTGATTAAACTCGGCATTTATTAGTTTTACTTTACTCTTCATATATGTGCGAAATCCAATTAATATCGGATCACTATATCATATAGCTGCCATAGGAATGATCGGTCGAAAATTAAGCTTTTGGATGAAAAAATATTTTGTTTTTCAAAATATCTTGACCAAACTCGGCATTTATTAGTTTTACTTTACTCCTCATATATATGCAAAGTCCTTTTAAGATCGGACCACTATATCATATAGCTGCCATAGGAACGATCGGTCGAAAATTAAGTTTTTGTATGAAAAAACAAGATATCTTGACCAAACTCGGCATTTATTAGTTTTACTCTAACCTCATATATGTGCAAAATCCTATTAAGATCAGACCACTATATCATATAGCTGATATAGGAATGATCGGTCGAAAAATTAGGTTTTTTTATGAAAAAACATTTTGTTTTTCAAGATATCTTAACCAAGCATTTATTAGTTTTACTATGCTCCTCATATATATGCAAAATCCTATTAAGATCGGACCACTATATCATATAGCTGCCATAGGAACGATCGCTCGAATATTAAGTTGTATGAAAAAACATTTTGTTTATCAAGATATCTTGATCAAACTCGGCATTTAATATTTTCCCGGTACTTCTTAGATAGGGGTAAAGCACTATGAGCATTATGCAAAGGTTGGGTCTGCAAGAGTATTAGATCTTTGGCGTGCCGAAGATAGCCATTCTTTCTCGTTTTATTTTATTTTTTTGTTGTTCGAATTATAAAGAACAAAGTACGCAGGGAACACCGCGAGTAGGCCAATATAATTATGGGGTTATAACTAAATATGACCTTCGAGTCGACTTGAAATGCAATTGTATATTTTAGCACTCTTTTATTTTTTAATTGGAGAATAAAAATATTATTAATTTAATTAAAAGAAATTATGTAAATATATGCAGCGACTTAGAAATACATATTTTTTGCGAAGCCAACCTCAGTACACAAAATGCATTCATATATCAACAAAAATTTGGGATAGGTCATGATCTGCGCTAGAAAACTAACAAAATTAATTTCTTGCCAGCTAAAGCCAGAGCAGTGAATAACAACACATACATACATACTTTAAAGTTCTTATGCATGTATAATTCACGCATGCAACCAAAGGTGCACGCTCGCTATTGGCTGAGACAAGAACTTTTCTCGAGCATCCAAAAAGAAAAGTGAAATCAATCTATGTTTGCTATTTTCTTAACATAGTTATTGCGCAAGAAGCGCCTGTAAAAATTATATGTATAAGTTCTTAAATTTTCCAGTAAAATTCATCGTTAATATCTAGGGTAATATATCATTTAAATAAAGCATGCATTTCATGGATAAAGCACAAGCACTTTGCGTCGATCGTAAGATCTAAACTTTTTCGCTCAATGTACTTCGAAAACGAAGCGACGCAAAGCAGCATCGACCAGCTTTGCTGAAGGCAGGCTGGTGACTAACTTCGTAGCTCGTGTCAGCATCAGCAAGCCGCGACTTCGGCATTCGTTCGTCTGGTCCTTGGAGAATGAACAACCAGTCGGCAGACATTCCATACGAAGCCTCAAATGCCAGATGAAAGGCCAGGCTAGAAATTTTGCGTCGCATTAAAATGTATGGGCGTTATTCATCTTAGTGTTTATATTGTCTTTGGTTCAGGGTGTCCCCTAGTCGAGAGCTCCCGACTAGAACCTCTTACTTGTTAATAAAGTCAGAAAATTTAAACAAGACATATAAGTAAATAGAATAAAGAGATAGTGATGGGAAATCAACGACCCGGTGGGAGAAATTAAAAGCTTGTCCGGGAAGCTGTGCCCCTACTCATTGCTGTGATTCCCCGCAGGTATTTGAAAAGCAACGATTTTATTAGGGTAGAGAAACTATTTAAAATTTTACATAGTACACGAAAAGAGTTGTGCATAGCGTAATCTGTTGTGCACGTAGGTAGAAATAAGGGGCGATAATTTCTGGTTGGGGTAAACGAAACAAAGAATTGAAGACGCCCTAACAGAAAAGGAGAATCTTTATCGCTAACAATCAACTTATGTAGGAAGACAACACCGAGACAGAATATTGAGATAAAGCATCCTGCAGGAGTAGGATGGTAACCGAAAATTAAGGTTACAATTTAAACCTCGGAAGGTGGAGTACGATTGAAGGTCATAAACTTACACTTTTAACAATTAAGATGCAATTGATTGGTCGATAACCAAAGATACATAGCGTTAAAATCATCTTGTAGAGGAGATTGATGTAGGGGACTAGTGTATGTATAAGTACACGGGCCTGAGATGTAATTGAGGGACGATCATTTATAAACAGAGTAAATAGTAAGGGTCCAAGATGATTACCTAAAGGGACACACAACATCGCATCTTTAGCCAGAATTTCCATCCAATAGTATTGAAATATGCGAAAAGTGTGAAAGGCGTCTCGAACGAATTTTAATAAAGTGCCCCGTTTTTACCGAAGAGGATTCTTTGAAAAATGTGTTTATGCAATGTTCCCACTCTTGTAGACGGAATTTCCCAAGCCCCTGTCTATATTACATAAGGGATCTTATAAAAGAATTCTCAACAGTGTAATATATAGCTGCAAGTAGGTTCTTCTATAAATAACATTTATCAAGCTATCTTGACCAAAACTTGGCATTTGTGAGTATCAGTATGCTTATATATGAATCAAATATTATCACGATCCGATTGCTATTAGAAAAATCGATCAAAGAGTGAGATTTTGCATGGCAAAATATAATTGCAAACTGCATTTAAAAAGTAATTTTATAAATAAAGACTAATATTGGGTATCTTTTTATCGCCGTTGCTATGTTTTCATTGTTACAGACATAAGTATTGGACGGCCATTTGAATAGGTATTCGCGGGTCTTTTGCGTTGTGCCACAGCTTTTACATCTGCCGATTTTATTAAAAAAAAAATATTAGTTTATCTCATGTTCATATGCTTCAAGCTGGGTTAATAATAACCAACTTATGTATTGCAGATCATTGCTAAGCACATATTTTCGCGAACACCACTAAAATTACATTCGTTGCCCTCAAACACAAAATACAAAATACATGCACATTATACTTATAAAATTAATCGGGGCTCCACTTTGCCTCTGGTTATCCGTCGCTGTTGTTAAGAGAAACAAATACAGTTATTTCAATTAAAATAGTCTTTATATTTTTTCTCCCGTTGAGAAAGAAAACAAATTAAAAAAAAGTGCAAGTAAAAGAAGCGGTTTACCTATACAGATTAATCGTGAACCTTCCGAGTCTAGCCACATTGTAGAGCGCCCTAATCGCAGAAGCTGGAGTTTCTGAAGGAAGGGTCGTAGCTTAAAAAACAGCTCAGGCTAAAAACTTAGCACGCGCGAGATAACAGAAATGTATATTTCCGGTCTAAATCAAATCCTTGAGGGCATTCGATTAAATCAACGGTTTTTTTCTTTTGCAATAAACCTAACCGAAGGACCACAAACCTCCTTAATGTCTCTTATACAATAAGACATTACAAGCTACAGAGCACAAAGTGAAATGGAATCTTGAATCCATCTTAAATAACGAATAACATTTTGCAATGAAAAGTATAGTTAATACCTATGTAGAAAGGAGTATCTTCGCTGCTGCGTACAGTGACTCCATCCTGCAGCTCGTAACAGAACGACAATATCGTAACAGAAGGCAAAAACCAGATATTGGCTGTAATATGTGACACGGCTGAAGACGGCCAAATAGGGACAACACCAAGTAAGTATGGGACAAGTGGAACTTTCCAAAGACATTGAACCTTTTTTTTTACAATTTAAAGTTGAGATGGAAACATGGACGTGTATGGCTGTATCAATTCGGCTGGTGATGCTGATCAAGATATCTTGATAAACAAAAAAGATTTTAATCAAAAACATAGTTTTCGACCGATCATTGCTATTGCAGCTATATGATAATGTCGCCCGATTACGGTAGGTTTTTGCATATATATGAGGAGCATCGTAAAACTTATAGAAGCCGACTTTGGTCAAGATATCTTGATAAACAAATATGGTTTTCATACAAAAACTTAATTTTCGACCGAGCATTCCTATAGCAGCTATATGATATAGTTTTCCGATCTTAATAGGATTTTGCATATATATGAGGAGCATAGTAAAACTAATAAATGCCTAGTTTGGTCAAGATATCTTGAAATAAATGTTGTTTTATACAACAACTTAATTTTCGACCGATCGTTCCTTTGGCAGCTATATAGTATAGTGGTTCGAACCAGTCGGTTTTGACCTATGTGCTGCGTGCAACAGAAAGAGGGACTTCTCGAAAGTTTCATTAAAATAGCTTTAAAACTGAGAGACTTATTCGCATAGAAATAGACAGACGGACATGGCTATATCGACACGGCGGTTGATGCTGATCAAGAATATGTATGCCTTATGGTGTCGGAGATGTCTCCTTATTTGTAATGCCCTCTGCAAGGGTAAAAAAAATTAAATTAAATCAAACAATTACTTAAACAATTCAAAACATACATTGTTTTACACGTCTGAAACTATTTAGCAGTTCAATAAATGTCTGTACAATTTTCGGAGTGCGTTTTTGATATTGGGTATGTTTATTATGTGTAACATTTCTAATGCGTACGAAATATATCGGTGAAATTTAAAGATAAATGGTCTTGAATAAAAACTCTGGACCTCAAGCCAATCAATCAAATATTTATATTTTATTTCTTTACATTATTTCTTTATTTATATATGTTACACATTTCATGAAAAAATTATAGTTCATATACAGTTGCAGTAGTATCTTAAAAATGTTTCGTGCAAGTTATGGCACGCCTGGTTTTTGAGCTACTGACACTCATAGCCATTTAAAATGATAATTTTAAAACAACGGTTTAACTTCTAAAATTATTAATACATTTAATGTCTGTTTTGTCTTTCAGCAAAATTCGTGTTAACTATTCCACTACACTATTTCTGTTTTATGATTCAAAACTGGTGGAGATATGTAAAACTAATGTAATAGACGTGTGTACAAACATTCAAATGTTAGATGTTCCTGATGATCAGTTTGAATACTTACCAAATATTGATGATGTTAATATGGGAACTACGTTATTTGAAGTTTATTTGGTTCTCAAACGATACAATATTCTGGGTAAAGAGTTTAAAAAAGTATCTGCATGGTTATCATAATTTCATTTTTGGTTTCATAGGGCAATCACTATGTCCCAACTGTAAATTGGAGATGACTGAATTTTATCAATGGTTTGAAAGGGGTGTAACACATTGGCTTGATATTTCAATAATAAAGGCCCTTAATCGCATTCAGAAAGCTATAGACTTAGACCAACTCCATGCTGTCGATGAAACGGTTAAGTATAGTTCATCTGCAGTAGACACTTTGGCCATTTTTTATCAGATTAAAATATTTTGGCAACAATTGGACTGGCCAGAAATAGAAGGATCGTATACATTTGTAGCGAAAATTGTAAATGTAAGTTGATGACTACACTCTTAAATAATATGTCATACATTTTTCAAATACCCTTCTTTAAAAGGATATATGCCGATGTTGCGTTTTCTATGCACAACGGATGTCACGCCGTGTAGAAACCATAACCAAGTTAGAAGATAATGAGGAAATGTTTAGTAAGTAAATACGATACAACTTTTCTTTTCAATAGTTTTAAAATTTTTTTTTAGTTTTATCGCAAGAGTGGTGTTTGGCTATTAACAACATGGACTACATCCGCCAGAGCTTACCCTCATTTATAAAGGTATGATTAAAATACATTAAAATAAAATACGATAAAGAAAATGCGAGAGAATGGTAGCAATATATGAAATTCATCATCCTACATTTATTTAAAGAGATAGGTATACGTAGTGCATACAATATATAGATGCTTTAAATATTAAAATAATCGAATCAAGAATTTTTAATTAGCCCCATAAGTGCTTGCCTCACCGCCAGATTTTTTCTCCCTGCATATCTTTTCAATGTATTCAAACATACATATGTATGTATTGTGTCGATGTGCGCACAATTAAATCCCGGCGTTTTTCGCGAGGCAGAGATATTTTCTTCAATGGGTTGGCGCTGCCTTCGATTTTTTGGTAGACCCTTTGCGCCTGCTGAAAGATTTATATTTTATATTATAATTTTGTTGTTTGATGTGGTGGGTTATTTTGCATATGTCGAACGTCAAGCGAAGGTGGAGTTGAAATTTTAATATTGTAGGTTTACGCCTGGCCCATGGCCATGTTACTCCGATTTTAATAGAGACAGCGTAATGCAAAACGTGCTGGTGCACGTGTTTTATTCTGAACGGATAACATAGGTTAGAACTTAGATATATATTTACTCAGAATCTTACCGCAGTCCTTTCTCCTTCGGGTCTCATATAAACAACGCATCACAATGGCGCATCGGCTTAAGGCCCACACACCATTTCACGCGTCGCACAAGTGTAGGCAGGTACTCCAAGATGCACCGTTTCCAAAAGCGGTCCGTAATAGCCTCGCTATGCGCCACTGCTTCCTTGACGCGCATCTTTCGTTCGGCTGTTCGTGGATAGGGGTCAGGCAGATTGGCTACTCCCTTGAGACGATCGTTCGGTATTAGAAGACTTCCTGGTCCGTAGACACCGACAAGTGAGTAAACGGGCATGAATTCACACCATTCTCAATCATTAAACTCTCCAATACGTGTTGCTTATTCCCTCCCCTGACATATTGCACCAGCTTTTCCCAGGCTCCTTCTTTAGCTCGGTTCGTTCGGCAGTTAAAGATCAATTCAATGAATATAGCTCACCCTTAATCTTCTCTGGCTCGAATACATCTATGATCCTTTTGGCTTCTCTGTTGGCCCCAACAAAGTTATTTTGTAATTGGACAACCTCAGTACAGGCCGGCGTTGGCAAAGAAAGTTCCTGATCACGATTATGGAGGAATCAGTTGGTAGTTAATGTGCCAACTTCAAATGTATGGCCCTTGCTGTCAGACACGTCCTTTCGACGTCCGAACGCCACAAAAAGTCCAAATTAGTCCGGACCCGTGAACTTAAAAGGCCATCCATTGGCCTCCAGTCTGTCCTCTGGTAAAGTATCTATTATGTGGCGCTAGCTGCGCTCTACGTAGCTTGCACACGGTACATCTAGATATTACTGTATGCAATAGTCAACGCAGCTTTGTTATCCAAAATCTGCCTCTTATGTCGCCTATCGGTGCATCCACTTTTTGATGCTTCATTCTCACGTAGTAGTGCATGCCGGTGTGAAAAAATTATTAGTCTTCTCTCACTATGCGGTATACACAGTACGACATCGTTCCTGCCATACGCACGCAGGTCGGCGCCAGCCCTCTTATGTCGCTTAGATGACCGAATCATTCTCTATTGTACGATGCTCAAAGCTCGTCAGGGAACGCTTCGCTTACGCTCGCCGTATCAGCAAGCTCTCATCGTCCTCACACTCCGTAGTGGTGAGGCCGAATCTCTCAAGCTTAGTCTTCTGTCCACAGCACCAGCGCATGAACCTTAGAGCCCAAGTCGTCGTCCTCACCAGCCGACTGTAGCTAGAGAATCTCTGAAATGCTGCAACTAAGGCGAATTCATTCGGCATCTCTTCTTCATCATCGCAGGATCAGTATTCCGTGCCCGGTTTGGGGTGCGGCCAGCATACCCCAAAAATGTTGGCCTGCCTAACCATCGTGACCGTGGGTGCTGCCTATCCAATGCATCACAGTTTTGGAGTCAGCCCATAGCATAGCATCGCTGATCGCTATACTGCGTTCCATTTTGACAGTGTCCATTAGTCTCTTTTCTAACACGGCTGCTTGCAATTCCACTCGTGGAATTGACATCATTTTCATTGGGGGGCATTTCGTCTCGGTACATACGACGCATACCTCGCTGACCTCTAAGTAAGCCACAGCTGCAAATGCTGACTGGCTAGCGTCGAAAACATGCAGTTGTACTACCCGCACAAGTATGGGTTCAAAGTAATGGCACGAGCTTCGAAATCTTTTCAAGTTGTTCTTGTTATGAAACCATTTATTAAAGGCGCGGGCGATCACATATGGTAAGCGTGCATCCTACTACACATTTCGTCGCCAGATCTCACGCATTTTTAACTTTCCAGTTATCATTAGACAGCTAAAATAAAAAATAAAAAAAATCCCAATAGATCAACTGTTGGCATGCTAAAGCTCAAGAATTCCCTCTTCTAGGGACTCGCTCCAAACTTAGCACACATCGGGGTACTTTGTGGTACTACTTGTTAAATTTGAAATCATCCATGGCTGGCACTCAACACATTACCAGAATCTTTTCTTTAGCTTTGCCCCATCCGATGCTTCTAGCAGCCACATGTTGCCTCAGGGCGTCAGCTACAGTTGGCGAACTAGAAGTTAATTGACATAATTCAAATCCAGCAATTGCATATATTTCTTTTGTTCTTGTTGATATGGCGACAGCGTCGCCTTCATTTTCAATACTGTCCAAATAGACGCCCACATAGTGATATTCACGAATAGCTTTAACCGCACCAGGATCTGAATCCTGAAACTGCAGCGCAATAAAGGTCTTCACATAGTGCGCGGCGCTTGGCGAGCATTCAGCTCCAAACGTCATTACACTCATCTCATAAATGTCAGGCTCCCGGCGATCATCGCCGTTTCGTCACTGAAATCGCTGGGCACATCTATCCTGCGGTCGAATTAACACTTGATGGAATATCTCTCGGATGTCTCCACAAACGCCAACGGCACCTTCAGAAAATGGAAGAACAGCCGGGAGTGACTTGTAGCGCTGCGGCCTCTTGGATAATGCCGAATTCAAGTAAATGTCACCGACCTTTGCTGCCGCGTCGAACACTAGTCTTATCTGGCCGGGCCTTTTTAGATTTTCAATTCCAAAGGCCGGCAGATACAAAAATTTGTCGCTGTTGGCTAAACCGACCTCATGATTCAATCGTCGAGCATATCCCTTTTGAACATAATCCTCCATAATTTTCATATAGGCTCGATTAAACTGATCGTTAAGCTTCACCTTTCTCTCAATGTTGACCAATCAACATTATCATGGTTTCATAACGAACCTGTCTGGTAACGTTTCCCTATTTTCACAGTGGTGTCTTCGAGTATCTTCTGAGCTTGTGCATCGTCGGTGCCTGCGACTGGTGGCGTATGCTTCAAACCGAAGCTCTTTATATCAAAATAGTCACTTACCATCTTTTGGATTGCATCCTCCTGTGACACTCATAGGAGACATAATATTGATGGCGTTGCCGTTCAAACCACCCATTCAAGTTCGGTGGCTGCGGAATATGGTCCCAATGGTTTGCATTGGAAATACAAGATGCGCATGGTCCATCGCCCCGCGATAATTGGAAGTCGTGCACTGTAACACATCACGTCCCTGCATCGTTGTCGATTATCGTTACAGACGAGGCTCGTTGAGGAGCGCATACGTATCGATCCGCTAAATGGCCCCTTGCAATGTCACTGGCAATATGCAGAATAGTAGGCGATCTCCATCCGAATCGACACAACTTAAATTCCTTTTTTGCGTCAATTGACCATCGACCAGCTGCGGTGCCCTTGTGTGCGGATACGCTGGTCCAGTATTCATCACTATATTACCTGCAGGTTGCGATGTATTGTGATTAAGGGATGATGCCTCTTCCGGCATCCACTTGGAGGCGTTGGCCGAGAAACAAGGCTGTTACCTTTTTACACGTATCCACTTATTTAACGGAGAGGCGTAATTAAACTTGTTGCAGTCCCTGACCGCATGCTATCCATTACGGATTGTACACTGTTTGGTGCGACCTGAGTGTCGCTCTTCATTATTCTGGTCAATGCTGGCATGTAGCACTCTACGCTTCTGCTGCCTACTATCCACGTCCACAATCGTACATACCAGTTAGAGACAGTTAATATGTTGGTCAACACAGAAGAGTCGATTTCTCCAGTAATTAATTAATGAATAAATTGTAATAATATATTTTTCTGAAACTAAAGAATGTTAGTGCCAATATGCTTATTTATTTAAAATAAATGTATGCAAAGCCAATGTAATGTACCTGGATATACTTGGATACCTATGGATACATATATGGCTATGCTGTTATAAATACACAGCTACAAAGAGAGAGAGAGAGAGAGAGAGAGAGAGAGAGATAGAGAGAGCAAAGACAATATAAACACTAAGACGAGTAACGCCATACAACAAAATGCTACTATGCAGCTTGATTTTTCGAAAATTGAGAACGAAAACGAAATTTGTAGCATTGCGCTCTCACAGCCGAGAGAACGAAAAAGCTAAAAATAGAATTTGCTCTCAGCTTCGGCTCTATGAGGGCCGTGCAAGCAATTATGTTTGTATGCGTGTGAATATACATACATAACAGCATATTTGAATGTGTTGTTATCCACTGCTCTGGCAAAGTCTCTGGCTGGCAAAGAAACAATCTTCTTAGTTTTTTAGCTCAGATCACGACCTACCCAAAATTTCTATTGATATATGAATGCATTTCGTAGACTGAGGTTGGCTCCGTACAAAATATGTATTTTTAAGGCGATGCAAATATTTATGTAATTTTTTATATTTGAAATTATTAATTAAATTATTATTATTTTTGAGTAATACATAATAAATTAAGGAAATAAAAGTGCAAATTTGTTGTTTTCAAAGATACATTTAATTAATTTTTTTTTTTTATTATTATTTTTTGTTTGAATTATAAAGAACAAACTACGCAGGGAACACCGCGAG